CCTGGTTTCTTTCTTTTTTTTAATGTTTGTTTCTTTTTGATAGAATGAGAGAGAGACAGAGTGTGTGCAGAGGAGGGGCAGAGAGAGGGAGACACTTTGAATCAGAAGTGGGCTCCAGGCTCTGAGCTGTCAGCACACAGCCTGACGTGGGGCTCAAACTCATGAACCGCGAGATCATGACATGAGCCAAAGTCAGATGCTTAACCGACTGAGCCACCCAGGTGCTCCAAAGTTGGTTAATATTTATGCACGTGAGGCTATATTAATATTTTGTTGCTCATGGCATTACAGTTGCTATACTCATTGTACATATATGTATTAGATTTAAATTGTAGACTCATCCCCCTAAAATTATAGACTCATTAATTATGGATGCATTTACTGTATTTCTGTTAAGATTGTGTTCATTTGTTTACTTTTTTGATATACCTAGTAAAGATACCATGCTGAGAGATGTAGTTGATTAAAACATATGTCCTGGGGGAGGAAGATAACATGTGCTGAGCTGTGTAATTTGCCGTGGGAAAGAAAATGAGGGGGAAAAAAAGGCAGACAGAAAGGAGGAGGCTATTAGATTTTAAAATAGCATGGTAGAAAGTTCTGAAGCTGACGTGGAAGAAGAGAAGTAAAAGATGTAAGGAGTTGTGTATATCTGTTCTTGTTGAAACATGAGTTAGAAAACTGGTAAGAGTCATGGAAAGCCTACATGGGTGGTGTTGAAACTGCCGAGTAAAGCAGTGGTTGGTACTGGGTCAGTAGATACGCAAAAACTTTATATATATTGGTGGTTGGGTACTTAGTTTTAAGGTGTGTGTGTGATGAGTGTGGATGGGGGAGTGTGGTGATGAGTACAGAATGTATTTCAGTTTGAGGAGAGCTGTGCTCAGAGCATTATAGTTGGATGAGTAAGATTCTAATCAAAATACTTGAGAGGATAAAATAGCAGGATAAACAGTGCTTAACCTATCTAACGAGAAGAATCCACAAGTTTGGAGAGTAGAGAAAAAAATAAATGTTTGTTTTAATATATGTTTTTAAATAAAATTAGGCAATATAATATACTTGCAGATAATTTTCACTTAGATCTCGGTTTTTAGAGCTACCCCATAATTATTTTAATTTTCTCTGAATCCGTAACTTAAAATAAGGCTTTCTTCTTTTTTATTTTATGTAACTTTTCCTAGACCTTGGGTTGTGATACATAATTCCTGCTATGTGACTTTCTAGAGGTTTATAATTTTAATAGTCTCTCTTAGGGGCTTCCCAGTTTCATTCCCCACCTCACCACCCCAGTATTATAACTAGAAAACTATGTCAGCTCCATTTCCCCTATTCTTATCCCATGTGTCTACTCCTGTTCATGTTGTCTGCCTTGATATCCAATTTCTTTTTCTATGTAGAAGTCTTTTGGCTACTTCTCCATCTTCTTTGTCCTCCCAGTCTCATTTTTTTTTAAACTTTAGATTGCATGTCTCATGTTGAACATAGTGAACTGACTACTTCATCTTTCTCTCTAACTTCTTCATATTTATCTTTGTAGTCACAGGGCAGGGTGTAGTCATAAAGCCTGGCAGTGAAAGGGACTGAGCATGGATTGGCTTTTAACCTATTGTTGGTCCCCACTGCCCAGCCTCTCTCCTACTAGCGTGACATACAGTGTTCTTGTTATTCTTCATACTTTCCTTTTCTTCATTGCTGTGGATAAATACCTGACTGCTTATGGTATGTATGAGCTTAGAGGTGTTGCTTAAGTTACTTTATTACTTCCTGGAAAGCAAAAGAAAAAAAAAATCACCTGAGGAGAAGTATTTCAGTATGGAATTTTAAAAAGTTGTAGTGAAAAACTTTTATGTAGGTAAAAGGATTAAAGCACATACTAATGTCCTGGTAACGCATGAAAGTAAAGGCTGAACATTTGGAAGGTTAGACTTTCTATTTACCGCTATTGGAAAGACCATGCAGATCTGGTGGGGCTCGGGTGGGATAGAGATAGAAAGTAGATTTTGCATGTTGTAAGTTTTAGGTACCTACTAAAATACCAAGTGGATTTTGTTGTTGTGGTCCAATAATCTCTTTTGATCTAGAAGACTCTTCCTCCCTTATTCATTTTTCCATGAAATTGTATTTCTTGAAGAGTTCAGGTCTGTTATCTAATAGAATGTCTTATACTTTGGAATTAATTGTTTCTTAACAATTAACAAGATTTAACATGTTTTTGACAAGAATACAACTTAGGCAACATTGTGTACATCACATTAGGAGGCATATATCATCAAGGTTGTCCCACTGTTGGTGTTACTGCATTTGATCACTTGGTTAAGCTCATGACTGCCAGATTTCTCTGTTGTAAAGGTGTATTCGTCTATTTATAATTAGTAAGTAATCTGTGGGGAAACATGTTAGGACTCCCAATAGCTTGGAGTGTTTGTTGTCATTCTCTTTATCCATTCAGTACAATAAACTTGAAAACCAGTTCTGTCATTTTAACAATTTTACAAAGGCTGCTTTCATATTATTAAAAATTTTAAAAGATATTTGTTAGAATAAAAAATAAGGGGCAGAAATGAAATTGAAAACATGTGAAAGTGAAATAGGAGGGGCAGTGGTGAAGCATACCTTGTATTTGTCCACGTTTGGAGCGTGGTGCGGAACAGTCTTGAGAGATAAAATTGTACTGTTTCATAGAGCTGTTATAAAAATATGAGCAACACATCGCAGCTATTCTAAATCATGAACAATATTAGCCTTCTTAAAGCAATCCTGGTTAAAGTTAATGAACTTTATTATTTTTTTATAGGTTTAAATGAAATACTGGATATTTATTTCTTCCTTTAAGGTAAGTTTTTTATTTTTAATCTTTTTCAAAATATTATTAAATTTGTTATCCAAGTACTTTGTCCAGAAAGTAAAAGTTTTAGTTACTGAAGTTGTGTCACTAATTTATCATCTGGACTTATGGGCTTTATCTATTACAGAGAAGAAAAATGTCCTCAAGGAAATGATTGTTACTGTACATACAGCACCCAGTAATACTATGCCCAGCATTTGGGTGCTGAAGAGAATTGGTAGGTTATCATGGGACCTTAGGTTTACACATTTGTGGTGTATCTCGGTATTCAGAATTGCTTAGCTTTTCCTTGGGATCCTTGAGCCTTGGGTTAATATTAGTTTCCTAGGGCTGCAATAACAAAGTGCCACACACTGGGTGGCTTAAAACAATAGAAACTTATTCTCTCCCAGTTCTGGAGGCTAGATGTCCCAAATAAAGGCAGGGTTGTCCTCCATTTGTGAAGGCTTTAGCAAAGACTCTTTCTTTGCCTCTATCTTCTGGTAGCTGCTGGGTGTCCTTGGGGTTCCTTGCTTATAGCTGCTTCACTCCATTTTCTGCCTCTGACTTCATGTAGTTTTTCCTCTATGTGTTTCCTTTCTCTGCCTCCAGATCCCCCTCTCCTTATAAAAACACCAGTCATTGGATTTTGGTCCTACCCTAATGACATATAACCTCATCTTAAATTGATTACATCTGCAAAGATCCTATTTCCAAATAAGGTCACATTCATAGGTCCTGGGTTTATGACTTAAACATACCTTTTTTGGGGAACACAGTTCATCCTACAGCAGTTGGTACTTGAGTTGTAGTAATATCGAGATGCTATGATCACTTTGAAGCTTGAATACTGTATTCTATGAAGTACTAAAGTATTTTGGAATTGATATAGAAATAAAAGTGAATCCCTAGATTTCTCAAGCCAAGTTAGAACTCGTTCTGCAACAGACTTTGAGTGGTAGAGGGGGTAAGAATTTTTAACATTTATAAATAAAAAGATCGGGAGCACCTGGACAGGCTCAGTCTGACTCGATTTTTGGCTCAGGTCATGATCCCAGAGTCATGGAATGGAGCCCCACTTCGGGTTTTGTGCTATGCATGGAGCCTGCTTAAGAGTCTTTCCCTCTCCCACCCCTTCCTCTCCCCCTTCCCACCCACCCTACCAGCTCCTGCTCTCTGTCTCTCAAAAAAAAAAAAAAAATTATAAGACTGGTTATTTATTTCCATTTGTGGGATTCAGCCTGACAAGGATTGTGGCCCTCCTGAGGTACAGCATGGAAACAAAGTAAACTAGGAGTTTTGTTTTCTTCATGTGCGTACTTCGTCTGGAAATAAGTGTTGTCCTTTTTATCCATTTATGTTAGACGAAACTCATATAATTGGATAATTTTTTAAAGCACATTAATACTCTTGACCATTTTAGAAAATAGTACAGGGTTACTGAAATTCAGTTCCAGCTTCAAAGAAGGACTTAGATAAGTGAACCTAGCTCAGTTCTTGGCTCTTGGTAAGTGCCTAAGATGTATTTGTTATTATTAGTGAGCCTTTCTAAGAAAGTGAAGGAGGTTTTAGGTAGTCATGAAAAGAAGGAAAATTCTCACCTCTTATTTATTATTATTTTTTTCTGTCTGGCTGGTTAGGATATTTACTGTTCCAGTAATTGGTTTGGTTTTGCTTATAAATGACTGGAAAATGTAGATTACAGTTAGAATGAATGTTTTTAATGTAGGAAAATACATATGATATTAGACACATGTTTACTTTTTGGAGGGTGAAGGTAATATTTTTTAAAACTGTTTATTTATTTTGAGAAGGAAAGAGTGCACTCCCATGTTAGCAGGGTAGGGGGCAGAGAGAGGGAGAGGGAGAGAATCCCAAGCAGGCTCTGTGCTGTCAGCACAGTCTGTCAGCTCATGAACCGTGAGATCATGACCTCAGCCGAAGTCAAGAGTCGAACGTGTAACCGACTGAGCCACCCAGGCGCCCTGGTAGTATTCTTTAAATACCTTGATTATATGATGCTTTTGGATAAATATTAAAAATCCAGGCTGTGTTAACTTTTTCTTTATTCTCTTCTTCCATTTAAATAAAAATAGCTGTATTAATCCAACAAGGCATAAAGCCATAATGTGGCATACCATCCTGTTTGAGAGGTGAACATTACTGAATAAAAATGGCTGACAGAAGTGGGAAGACTATTCCAGGACAAGTGTATATTGAAGTGGAATATGATTATGAATATGAAGCTAAGGACAGAAAGATCGTGATAAAACAAGGGGAACGATACATCTTGGTGAAAAAGACCAATGACGACTGGTGGCAAGTCAAACCAGATGAGAACTCCAAAGCATTTTATGTGCCAGCTCAGTATGTCAAGGAGGTCACCCGTAAAGCTCTCATGCCGCCTGTTAAACAGGCAGTTGGACTGCCAAATAATTCTATGAAAATGATACAGAGTCTCCATCTTCAGAGGTCAACAGAAAATGTGAACAAATTGCCTGAGCTTTCGAGCTTCGGAAAGCCATCATCGTCTGTTCAAGGAACAGGTCTTATTCGTGATGCCAATCAGAATTTTGGACCCAACTATAATCCATGTCAGACTGTGAACCTAAGCCTGGACCTGACCCATAATAATGGAAAGTTTAACAGTGATTCACATTCTCCTAAAGTTTCTGGCCAGAATAGGACGCGCTTATTTGGTCACTTTCCCGGCCCGGAGTTCTTGGACATAGAGAAAACTAGCTTCTCCCAGGAACAGTCTTGTGATTCAGCAGGAGAAGGCTCAGAAAGAGTACATCAGGATTCTGAATCTGGTGATGAACTTAGCAGCAGCTCCACTGAGCAGATAAGGGTAAGATGAAAAGTAGAATGATGGAGCACTTGTACTACCATAACAAAAATATTGCAGATTTTAATTAAAATCTTTGTAGGAGTTAGGCATTGTTCATTTTGCTTTGTTATTAGAATAGGTTCCATCCTGACTTAATGAGGTGGAGAATAGTGTAATAACTTGTAGAGTTCATAAAGGTTGGCCTTATGGTTTCCATAGTTCTCGTACCTTTGTGGGACTAGAGCTGCCTCAAGTGTGGAAAAGTTTTTTTTGGTCTTCTCTATTGATAATGCATAGGGTAGAAAGGATTTACTTACCCAGTGATATTTCTTTTACTAGACCAACTTTGTTTTCTAATTGTACTCATTTGGCTTATTTGTGATAAGTTTTCAGGTAATAGTGGGAATATGAGGAAAGGTGTCACTGGAATGTTAGCTGCTAACTCTTGTTCTTTAAAACTTGTTTATTAACCTCTAATATTTAAAAACTTGCTGACAAATCTTTGCCTTCATTCATGCACTTTGGTGTCTTAAGTGTTTAAATATACACACTTGTTTGCATGGAGCATTGGCCTGAAAAAGATTGTGTGTCAGTGATTTGATTTTTTTCCTCCTTATCCAACTTTATTTTGAGATTAGTTTATGCCAGTTTGTCAAGTAAAGTGAAATAAAATTAAAAGCAATTGCATGAAATCAAAACTTGAATGTATTTGGATAAGTCTAATTAAAAAAATTTTTTTTAAATGTTTTATTTTTGAGAGAGAGAGAGAGAGATGGAACGAGTTGGGGAGGGACAGAGCGAGAGGGAGACACAGAATCTGAAGCAGGCTTCAGGCTTCAAGCTGTCAGCACAGAGCTTGATGCAGGGCTTGAACCCATGAACTGGGAGATTATGACCTGAGCTGAAGTTGTTTGCTTAACTGACTGAGCCACCCAGGTACCCTGGAGAAGTCTAATTTTAAGTGAAATTGTAAATTGATAAATTTTTGGTCTAAAGCTCTGTTGTAAGATTTATTCATCAAGTTAAGTCAGTAATTGTGAGGCTGGTCTTAGATGTGGTCTGACTCTGATGGAACTAGTTCGTTCTTACTATAGCTTTTAATTTTTTTGTGACATTTTGAATGGAAAAGGGAAGATTCTCTAGAAAAATTTCTGATGTTTGAGATCAGGGCAGTTAATGAAGTAGCACTGCCAGTTTACCATCATGTGTCTTAGGAGGCTTCTATTTCTTTAGTCTTTATGTGATACTTTGACATAGGATATACAGTGTTTCCTGGAATTTTTCTGTTCATAGCTTCTTTTTGAACTAGCGGGACTTAGGAAAGATGCGTTTTCTATTACTGATAGCCATCACAGTTCACGGTATGTTTTATATTTATGTATCCCAGCAATCCTGTGTTCTCTTCATTATGGTCATCTTAAATTCACTGCATGGAAGTTCATGCCTCCTGACCTCTCCTGAGCCCTTAACACTGCTTGGAAATCCTGCTAAATTTCTCTGACAGGTCCTTTTCCTAACTGTTCATGACAAGTATTTCAAAACTTTATCATTTCTCTCATTCACCTGCTTTTCCCTGCTCTCTTAGGTCAAATAACTTTACCTTCTATTACCTTTTATTAGTCTGTAGCCTAAATAAAAGCTTTAGGATGGAAATGCTTCAGCTGTGGGGAGGATGTATTGCACAGCAGTTAATAGCACTGGCTTTAGATTTGGATCTGATTCCATACCACTTACCAGCTCTGCCATAATTGGGGCAAAGTGCTTAACCTCTGTGTCTCAGTTTCCTCATTTTAAAATGGGGATCACAGGGTTGTTGAGGATTAAGTGGGCTACTATATCTAATATGCTTACAACTATGCTTTGCGTATAAGTACATTATGTATCTATTGCTATTTAATAAATTCCTCCCAAGTCTAGTGGCTTAAAACTGTAACATCTTCTCAGAGTTTCTGTGGTCCATAACTCAGAAGCCGGTTAAATGACTGGTTTTTTTTTTTTCAACGTTTATTTATTTTTTGGGACAGAGAGAGACAGAGCATGAACGGGGGAGGGGCAGAGAGACAGGGAGACACAGAATTGGAAACAGGCTCCAGGCTCTGAGCCATCAGCCCAGAGCCCGACGCGGGGCTTGAACTCATGGACCGCGAGATCGTGACCTAGCTGAAGTCGGACGCTTAACCGACTGCGCCACCCAGGCGCCCCTAAATGACTGGTTTTAAAGGCACAGGGTCTCATGAGGTTGTAGTCTTGTGAAGGCTTGGCTTGGGCTGGAGGAGCTGCCTCTAAAATGGTTCACTCACATGAAATTAGTTGGGCCTCTTCACAGGTGCTTTTGTTGTAGACCAGCTTTCCCTCAGAAGGAGCAGTCCAAGACAGAGCAAGGTAGAAGCTACATTGTCTTTTATGCCAGTCTTAGAAGTCATACACTGTCATTTCCTATTAATTACACATCTCACTTCTATTCTGTGTGGCAGGAGACCATAAAGGGTATGTGTATCAGGAGATGAGGATCATTGGGGTTCATGTTGGGGCTGGCTAGCATAGTAAGTATTCAGTAAAATAGAGCTGTTGTTGTTATTTCTATTATTATTTCCACCATCAAATCTATAGGTGCACCTGTATCAGCAGTCCCCTTTCCCCTTGTGTGGTGCAAGCATTGTCTCTCTTCTCCCCTCCATAGCTGCTAAATACTATGCAGCATTGTGCTCATGTGGTTGATTATTTACCATGTTTTCTCCCTCATTTAAATCTCATGTTTTTCACATTTTAGTAAAGCACTTCAATAATACCTTCCCCTCTGAGTATCACTTTATCACCCTTTTCTTTTATTGACAACTCCTGGGAAGAGTTGTATGTATTTGCTTCTCTGCATTTTGTTGTTTCTCATTCACTCCTTAACCTAGTAGGACTTCTAGCTCCACCATTCTACCTAAACTGCTTCTGCTAAAAGGTACTCAGGTAAATAAATTTACAGACAATTGAAAACATTCATACACACAGCCAATGCCATCATCATGGTGAACAAGATTAATAATCATATGACAATTTAAAATAATCTTTTACTGAGGCAGAGCATACAATCAAGTGTGTAAATTGCAGCAGTCTTAAATGCACAGTTTGATGGATTTGACTTACGTGTACACCTCTGTAACCTTGAGCTGCTCCCCTGCCCCTCATGTGTCTGCTAGGAGATTGTCATTTTTCTGACTTATAGTGTCATTGGTCAATCTGCTTTAATTAAACTTTTCATTTTGAGATGCTTGTAGATTCATAAAAGCAGTTGTAAGACATAATACAGAGAGATTCCCTTGTGTCCTCTATCCAGTTGCAAAACTATACTGTCATATCACGATCAAGATATTGTCATTTGTTGGGCACCTGGGTGGCTCAGTTGGATGAGCGACTGACTTCGGCTCAGGTCATGATCTTGCAGTTTATGAGTTCCAGCTCCGCATCGGGCTCTGTGCTGATGGCTCAGAGCCTGGAGCCTGCCTCAGATTCTGTGTCTCCCTCTCTCTGCCCCATCCCTGCTCATGCTCTGTCTCTCAAAAATGAATAAACGTTAAAAAAAAAAATTGTCATTTGTACAATCTAGATACTGAGCATTTCCATCACCACAAGGATCCTTTATATTGCCCTTTTATAACCACATCCTCTTTCCTCCCATCCCCATCCCTGCTTAACCCTGGTTACTACTAATTTGTTCTCCATCTTAATAATTTTGTCATTTCAAGAATATTATATAAATGGAATCATATGCTATATACCTTTTGAGGTTGGCTTTTTCATTCAGCGTAATTCTCTGGAGATTGATCCAGGTGACTGTATCAGTGTTTGCTGTTTTTGTTGTTGACAAGTATTCTGTGATATGGATGTACCACACTTTGTTTCACCATTAACCCATTGAAGAAAATCTAGGTTTCCAGTTTTCTGCTGTTGTAAACAAAGCTGCTATATATAAACATTTCTGCACAGGTTTTTGAGTGAACATAACTTTTTGTTTGTCTGGCATAAGTGCCCGTGAGTATTGCTCATGGTATGGTAGATGTGTGTTTAATTTTTTAAAGAGACTGCTAAACTGTTTTCCAGAGTGGCTGTACCATTTATATTCCTACCAGCAATATATGTGATCCAGTTTCTCTGCATGCTCACTAGCATTTGATGTTGCACTGTTTTTTTGTTTTTGTTTTTTTTTTTTTTAGCCATTCTGAAAGGTGTGTAATAATATCTTGTGATTATAATTTGCATTTCTTAACAACTAATGATGTTGAACATCTTTTCATATGCTCATTTGCCATCAATAGATCCTCTTAATTGAAATGTCCTTCATATCTTTTGCCCATTTTTTAATTGGACTGTTTGTTTTTGTACTCTTGAGTGTAGAGAGTTCTTTATATTGTCTAGATACTAGTCATTTGCCAGATACATGGTTTGCAAATATTTTCTCCCAGTCTATAGTTTGTCTTTTTATACTCTTAACAGCATAACTAGTCAGGGTTCTCCAGAGGGTGTGTGTGTGTATAAACTGCTTTTATATCTTTGTGAAAAATCAGTAGGCCATATTTGTATGGATCTATTTCTGGATCCTCTGTTGTGTTTCACTCATATATGTGTCTTTCCGTACTCTAATATCAGACATCCTTGATTTTTTTTTAATATTTAATTTTTATTTATTTTGAAAGAGGGTGAGTGGGGGAAGGGCAGAGAGGAAGACAGAATCCCAAGCAGGCTCCACTCTGTCAGTGCAGAGCCCAATGTGGGGCTCAGACCCACAGAACTGCAAGATCATGACCCAAGTCGAAACCAAGAGTCAGATGCTTACCTGGCACCTCTCAGACATCGTTGATTACAGTAGCTATATAATATGACTTAAAATTGGTAGACTGATTCTTCCCAATTTGTTCTTCAAAATTGTTTTAGTTATTGTAGTAGGCTAAATGATATTCACCAGAGATACCAGATCCTAATCCCTGGAACATTTCTTTTTTAAGAAAAAGATCTTTATACAGATAAGATTAAGT